CACGTTTATGGGGTACTTGGTCGGATCTCTTACTCACCATTTGCNTTTAAAACACATCGAAGGAGCAACAGAATCCCACATACGTTATTTGAGACAGGATCAATAAGTACCGTTTTCAGGGAGGACCTCAATCGTCTAGTCGTCATTCATGATGAATTCACAAGGAAAGGATATCCTAATGGACATGGTCCTCCCCTCTCTCACCGTCAGAAGGAAGTATCATGGAAATGTGGTTAGGAACATCCGTAAGGAGTTGATCATTGCTCTTAACAGGTCCACAGCGAGTCGTATGAGACGATGAAATTGGGTCGGGTTAGCGATCCATCTTTGAACTGGTAGTCCTTCAAGAAAGTGGGTTTCAAGCCATATTTTGTCACTTTTAATCACTCGGGTGAGTTTCTCATTATCTAGAATAACTCATTTAATCTGAAAACAAAACGCACAGTAGGTAAAAATTGTTCCATATTGTAGTGTTTTGAAATTTCAATCAAAGCGTCCATATGTGTAGAGATGAAATACGTCGGTGCACTGGGTTATCGGCAAACCCTTAACTTCGATTATCTCTGTGTGGGCTAATTCTTTTGTTGTTCATTCCAGAAGTCCTTTTTTGGGCTCTTTCAGACACTTCCTTATTAGACAAACGGCTTCCAAGATTGTCTGGAACGTCGTCGGCACATAGCCGTCGACAACAATCGTACTTCCCCACGACAGCTGTCTTTGCTGCAGCAGAACATCAAGAAACAGTGACTTCAGAATCAGTGACGAAAGACTGTTCCTTTAAAGCGCCGAATGGTGAAAATTTCAACTGGCAGCTACTTTCCTCACAAAGTAGTATAGCTCACCTCTTATTTTGTGAGTGCAGCTTGAAGTTGGAAGCTCTTTATCTAAGATCCTTGTCTAGAAAGTGTAGATTGTATACTGATTTGTAAATAGATTTGTGGGTGTTAAACAGGTAGCCTCTGAATCACTCTATAGCATGAATCCTCAGATCAGTGCAACTACCAGCATGATATTCTGTGAACACAGATTAAAAAAATCCATAATTAGAGGTCTCAGTCAATTTTTTGAGATATTCAATGAGAACCGTATAAGCTGCTAGGTGGAGTGAGTGAAACTCAATTTTCCAGATATCCGAGGTTACGCAGTGGTCTCAAAACGGAGCCTTGAGGAACTCCAATGGAGACCGGCGCTGAACTCCAATGAGACCGGCGCTGGTCGAGCCTAATTTCACTCGGAACGATCCGTCTGATAGGAACGCCTTGATCCAGTGGAGGAATCTCCTTTGCACTTAGTAGGTTGTCTTTTGACAGTTTTGGACAGCTGATGTGAGCCAAAGTTAGCTGTTTGGACAGTGTAACGGCATTTTTACTGTACTCTTGTGTATTTTGCCTATACACAGTCACACGTACAAGCGTTCCGTGTGTGACCAAACTATAACAAGTAATGACATATGACTACCATCGTTCTGCTTAAGGACTTAACGCAACTGTCTGTGAGACATGGTCTGGTAAGATCGTTCATATACCTTGTATATTTGGGATCCGTCTGAAGTGCTTTGAGAGAGAGTCTTTTCCGTTAAACAAACACCTGTTGATCAGCTGTATTCGTTAGGCAAGCTAAACCCGGGGGACCGCTGCTTCTTTGAATGGTTGAGCAATCAACCTTTAGAATGTAAAAATTATTTTGGCTTCACAAGGTATTTTCAATGCCGGTGCAAATCTAAGCATATGTCCCGACCGAACGGGAGGTCTGGATTAGCAGGGCCTATTAAATTTGGTCCTCGAGCAGACATCTGAAGTGGTATGGGCACTTCACCTGATGTCAAGCACGTAGGAAACGCATCCAAACACAGAAATCTTGTTACCGTCTTGCGGACACAGTAGTTCCCGTGTGTGTTTGCGTAATTAAATTAATCCCTTGAGAAGAGAGCCGGACAACACACCACAGAGGCCGATCGCTACCGCGCACGCCTGACTGACCTGGATTGGTTAACCAAGCTCCACCACCGGGGAGGGGAGCACTGATTTGTTATGAGGTTAACGAAGCGAGATGCGAGGTGATACGCAGAAGTTCGAGAGAAATTAATTAAGAGTTACCAAGAAGTGGGTGAACATTGACGTCTCTGGGGACTGACAGGATATTGCGATGGTCTAGTCTATTAGGAGATTCGGTTACACAAAGACAGACTCACATTTTCCTATGCATTTCAAGGCAAATGAAGAAACAAAGATTATGTTGCGAGGAATGTGTAATGTTGTCTTAAAAACAACAAATATTTGCGTGTAAGTCACAATGCTTCTCTCAGATTTTTTGTCCAGAGTGCCTGGAACTAAGGCTCGCTACTTCGTTTAACATACGTCGGCAGCTTGTATTGCTCTTCAGCTATGGTTCGCTTTTTAAACAGCTTACAAAGCTGATAATACTCATGAGACCTTTGGAACTGGTTCTTCAACGAACAGCGTGGCAAATCGGTTTGCTGGCTATGACCACTGACGGGAAACGGCTTATTTTAGCAAATGTATCGGCCGCATTTTCAAGTTCGAGTGTTCTTGAGATTTTTGCATTCCCCCTATATCATCTTGTAAGTGAAAATGTAACAAAATGCGAGCTTGCTGAAGGCCAATTAGGTAAAATTTTTTACTTAGTGAAAGAACCAGAAGACCATAAGGTGCACGATCAAAATCCCCTGAAAAACCACCACTCTCATTCCCTTTTGAGCTCATCATCATCATCATCATCATCTACGTCGGCAGCTTGTATTGCTCTTCAGCTATGGTTCGCTTTTTAAACAGCTTACAAAGCTGATAATACTCATGAGACCTTTGGAACTGGTTCTTCAACGAACAGCGTGGCAAATCGGTTTGCTGGCTATGACCACCGACGGGAAACGGCTTATTTTAGCAAATGTATCGGCCGCATTTTCAAGTTCGAGTGTTCTTGAGATTTTTGCATTCCCCCTATATCATCTTGTAAGTGAAAATGTAACAAAATGCGAGCTTGCTGAAGGCCAATTAGGTAAAATTTTTTACTTAGTGAAAGAACCAGAAGACCATAAGGTGCACGATCAAAATCCCCTGAAAAACCACCACTCTCATTCCCCTTTTGAGTCATCATCATCATCATCATCATCATCATCATCGACACCTACTTCACTGCCATACAACTATGTCAATTTATTTGGATAAAACCTCATAATGGATAGAAGAAAATCGGGCAGTGGGGAGGAACGTGGGGCTGGCCTACCACGAACACGCCAGGTGTCAATGTCTCCACCATTCGGTCAGACAATCGAGATAGAGACTGACGGTACAAACGCCGCTGACATCCATTAGCCACCAGATCGTCCACTGTCTCCAGCCGGGCACACAGTGAGTAACCTGGATCATATCCTCTAAGGTGACTTGCACAAACGGCACCCAAACGTTACGTAAAAGACTTTATTTGCTCCATCCATGCCCAATTCTGTGTACTTCTTGGCTTTTGCCATTCTGAATTACGCATAGAAAACAGCACCTCTTCAGGCCAGTGGCAATTCAGCATGTGCAACATGTGGCCCAGCTAACTTAGTTGACAGTGATGGAGCTATTATTGGGAGAAATTGCCCGCTTGTTCATCAGAACCCCGCTATCTGATCAACTCGTCGTGAAATCGCTTGTTCTAGCCGATTCCAGTTGCACTTCTTAGACATTCGTTGTCAAAAACTTGAAGATCTTTCAAATTCTCTGCCTGAAGTAGCCAGCTCTTGCAGCCGTACATCGATGTGGCCATACTTTAGACTGATAGGTGCATTCTTTGTAACATTGTTGAGATCACAAGTGATGCAAATCAGCAGACGTAACTCCGTCACATTGCTGTCAGAGCTAATTCGACTTCCACAACCCTTGAATCCTTAGAAGTATTTTCAAAGAATAAGAAATCAGTTTTGAACTCATCAGGGGGGTTTTACTGATGCCTTAAGCATCTTGTTACGCCAGTCGATTTCATTTCTTTTTGTCATTGCTACACGCATCTGACCATAGAGAGGATATTTAAGAAAACTACTCACAAGGTTGCTGAAAACGCTTCGACCTTGTGAGTAGTTTCGTTTATGAAAATATACTGCGATATCTCGAATATCGTACCAACTGAAACAAGAAGCGGCCTGTGTGCAGCCCATTCAGTTGCAGATTATCGTAATCGAGATATTCAGTTAAGTCTCTGGTGAAAACCAGATTGAGTTGCAAATGAGTGTATTTCTCGAGATTTAAGTGAGTTTCAATGAAAACTATTGACTCTGGTGTTATTCAACCAATTGGTGAATGTCCCAGGACTGTGACTACCTGTTAAGCCAAAATAGAGCAAAACTGGAAGAGATATTGGTAAAATTTTGACTCGAAAGACAACACTACACATAAAGAAGGATATTTAATATCTTAGGCATCGGTCCAACTGAAAACTGGGGCGAACTGTGGAGCAGCACATTCCGTTGAAGTGCAACACTGAGGCATGATTCTAATCCAAGTATGTCTGAATCACCCATGTACGACAAATTGCCCCGCGAATACATTACGACTATATATGCGGGCCATTTCTTAGTTCATGTTAGCTATCGACGAAAACGCTGGTGGCTTCTTGGAAGAAAGAGAATAAAACTGGTTTGCCCTGACTCAAACCCGAGTAATAACGAGTAATATTGAACAAAACACCTTCGTGGTTTCAAACTGGACTTATGTGTAGGTCAAATGATCTGGATCCCTGGTCTCGGTGGAATGAAATTCCCAGAGACTGAATAGGCGCTAAACAATGCGTTCGAATTCTGCTTCATGCACTGGGTGAGACCATGACTTAACTAATCATGAGTTCCATAATATTTGCTGAAAGAATTCTGGCGCAAAATTCGGTTCTGACGATTTTGTGAGAACAAATGTATTACCGAGACCTTTTTAATGAGTGATTGATCATCATCATCGACAGCATGACATCAGTGTTCAACACCGATGCTTCACTGCCGTAGTAGCCTGTTATCGCCTATCCGCCCTGCTGTATGCAGCGACCCGGCTGATGGCACAACGCGATGGCCGATGTGGCATGAGTTTATTTGTGTATGTGCAATTCATGGTTGTACGTGGGCTGGGATACTGCCAGGGCACCCACACCTAGACAGAAGGACGATTAGGGTCCTCAACCAAAGTCTTTGGCTCAAAAGCCTAACCGCAAGGCAGCGGTGTTTGACGGGACATGCAAATGCATTACCATTTCTACGGAACAAGTTGCCACATGTTCAAACTCCCTACCTGGATGGCCAGGAGACTGTGTTCGACAGACCTCCAACCATTGAACAACCTGGTATGAGAGAATCTGTGGGTGGCGCGGGACACTCCCCAGTATAGCTCAACGGATCGCTGAGGTGCACAAACCGTCACACCACGGTAAGGTGCAGTCTCTTCGTGACTGAATGAGTGATTCCATCATCTCCATTTCATTTGTAAGTTTAATTTTATTGTTTTTGGTGGAAATCCTTTGCTGGCCGGGACATATTTAAACTTTTCATCAAGACGATCCTATCGTACGAGGTAGGTGCGTTTTGGCTGGGAAACTCAGCTCAGGAAAACACGCATGGTGCTTTCCTAAACGTAATATGTGATTAAAAGTGCTATTTATGACACTACTTCTTTCTACGAAACTACTAGTACACAGACTCACCCCGGGGCCAAATTCCGTCAGATCAGAGTTCAAAGCTTAGTTGAGACACCTGGAAATCTCATCTTTAAATGCTTTGCAGCCAAAATATGAACTGGGTCCATTTTTAGATAACAGGAGACCTGGAACCCAGCTGAATCTCTCGTTTATGATGTCTTCAAGCAACAGAATGCGCTGCACCAGACTGCTTCAGTTGGTACGATCTTGGATATATCGCGATACATGTATAGGCGTAATACACTACTCATAATGTTTTTGAAAATTCTTCGACGGTCCACAACTCGTTTCGCTTTCTTTTGGCACGTCACGTAGGGGCAGTCCCCGAGTTTCCGTCAACCTAATGTTCTACTTGAATCCAAATTCGGCCGTTTTCAAGAAATACACTCACTTGCATACCAATCCGGTATGACTGAAGCTGTTTCTTCTGTAACGAGCTTTTTTGTGGAACGCGCGACACTCATCAGAACAGGAATCCGATGAGGCTTCTAAGAGTGATTGTGAATGCGTTGGTGCAAACATTGTGCCCACTCACTTGTGAAGCATTTTAAAAAGAACTGAGAAATATTGGTGCGGTTGATCTTCGAACACTTGTCTATTTGCACCAGACAAAACGTTCTTGCAGTGTATATGCGATAAAAGTGTGGAGTGGACCACGACGTACGAGAGGTTCAGTGAGGTCCGTTTGATTCCCCTGTACAAATATGAGATTGGTCTTTACAATCTACCAGTTTTATTTTAGGTAGAACATGAAGTTGGCGAAAACTCGGGGACTGCGCCTACTGATGAGTCGAAGGAAGGGCGAAACTGGTCGCGGGCTGTCGAACAGTTTTCATCAGCCTTATGAGTAGTATATTACGTCTTCACAAGTGGATTTACGCCACCCTGCGAGCTCTTAACTTTCGGTACTTTCCGTTTTCTTCCTGAATGATCACTGGCGTGTTTTATGGGGACAGCTTAATTGTATCCTGATATTTTTACTTTAAGTAATGCGATATGTCAGACAGTATGTGAGCTTCCAAAATCCATACGAATACTCTGCTAGTAACAGCTTGGATTTTATAAGGAATAAAATAGAGTTTATTCGATAAGCAGAACCTAGTGTCATAATGTGCAATGGACAGCGAATGGCTATCGCTGGAAGCAAAACCGGATCTCAAAAAATCTAAGGAACTTTTGCAACTGTGCTCATTTTCACTGAGAATTTGATTGGACTACCTGCGACTCAGTTGTGCTGGTGAAATGAGAAGCCGTGGGGGACCGTATTTGGTTGGCTCGTGTCTTATGAGGATTATGCTGCCAACCGTCAAAAGGCGCGCGTTCGCATTGTTAAAACGAAACGCGTGTCGATTAGAGGGTACATATTTTGTTTGTCCTCGTTACACCCTTATATGTATCTAGAGAAGGTAAAACAAGCGGTTCTGGCCACACTATCATCCAGCAGCCAACAATTCGCCGGTTACAACTAACCCAGATCAAGTAGCTTATGTGAACTCGTCAACTGACGCCAGCTGACCACATGAACTCTGGTGCCCGTACAAACCGCTTATGAGTCGGGCCGTTTTGTAAATTGGATGGCGGTTTTCGTTACGAATAAAAAGTTTGCAGCGGACTTGGTTCCCTGCTCTCAAAGGGGTTTCTTTCTGACGGCTTTATTCATTACCGAATATAGGTCCGAATGGAAAATGTCTGCACTTAAAGATTGACCTGGATACGGTCACCGTGATGGCACACCGGTAAATGGCAGTACTAGCTGGTTTATATAAGACGCTGTAAACCCTCCGAGCAATTTTTACTTATGACTTGAGAAGTTAGTTGAATCGTTGTGACTGCAGCATTTCCAATAGGAATATGCCCACCACAAGCTGGAGAGCTAACAACCGCGCCAAATTTGAACTTTGGAGGTCTATCCTGCCTCATGAACAAGTTGATGAAAATTATACTCCAACGACAGGAGTGAAAGTGTACCGGTGTAACGGTGATACGACTGCTGGGGAAGCACGCGAGTAAGAATTTCGCTTTGCGTCTATTGAAAAAGGGAGATCTGTTGCGGAATTCGTGGAGCCACTTTGTAACATTTGCTTGGATTTGACCGACGAATGAGTGGAGTCAATGAATCTCCAGGAAAGTTCAAGAGGACTCGTTCGGGAGAAGATCGGTGTCCAGTTTTTGTAACTGAGATGCAGATTAGAGTTTTGCTTCCCTGTTCAGTGGTCTGTAACCGGTCAGTTGGCATTTATTAATAAATAACTCCGCAGGGAAGACCTTCTTCCCTTCACCGGTAGCGTTCCCAGATAATTTAGAGGAGTCCGTTTAACCTGTTTACCACTTAAAGACGATTACATCTGCAACAACCTCAAACAGAACCTAGGGTCTGCCATTCATTCGTGCGCACCGCGTCAAGTGTTTGCGGCGATGTCACAAGTATTTTCTGTCGTCTCAAATCCCGATGATCGCTTCACCTTCAGAACAAGTAATTTATCATTTCAGTGGCAACCGTAGTCACGGCAGAATTGATCGGTGCTTTTTCAAAAGACCTGTGAATATTTACCATGGCAGTTAATATGAACGACACAATACTTTGTTCAAAGGCCTTGAAAATTAGCCCAAAGAATGAGTCATCGCTTGCACGCCATGCCCCCAGTGTTAGTCTTCGTTAAGCCCCTTTTGACGGTATCAGCTTCTAGCATGGGATTGGAACCCATACTCATTGATAAATTAGTGTTGGCTAAGGCGTATTAGCCAAAGCTGTCCACACACAACAGATCTTGTCTCAGGCTATCTGAATACTTTTAACAAAGGTGCCCAGCTCTCCTCTTCGATAGTGAGAATCAACAACGTACCTATTATCAGTAAAACGGCTAAATATTTTTTGGACCTTCAACCTCTCTATGGTTGTAAAAGTCGCTTGAGGTCAACTAGTCGTTCTCTGTGTCATTTTTAAGTCACATATTCGCTACTAAGTCTGTTTGTGGATGGTGATTAACCTAAGGTCGTGGTGTCTAAAAGCGACGCTTGGTGGGCCAGGACAGTGAGGATCTTGAAACTTCCATAAAGACCTCATAATTCGGAATATTTACACTGTAAACTATAAGCTGAGCATTTTCCTTCTGTTTGGACTCCCCAGTCACCCAATTTCGTTGTTGTCACATGGTCGCACTGGACGTCTGTAAAAAATTTCTAGCCGGTGCTGAGCAAACCATTCATCAATAAATGAATGAACTATCGGGTTTATTCACCCTCTGTGTAGGGGAGATACTTTCATGCGCTGTCATCTGAAGCCGATCACGACGCATAAAATTTGTACGTGCGCGCTTGAAAGAATGATCATCTGGGATGACAATGCGAACGCACTCAGGCAGAGTCCTTGGTGTCCACGCGAAGAAGACTAAACTATCCATGACGTCTACAGTGGGACGTCTGTTCCAGATGTAACGGACAAAAGCAGATGAAGATGGTCTGTTTCAAATGAAACGTCTAGAATTGTTGCAAAAAAGACGTTGCACGGCAAGATGCGTTGGTTCTCGCTCCGTAATTTTGATCGTGTGATATTCTGTCTTACTCGAACCGTGATGAAAGTGTGGATAGTCCAGCGGAGTTTTCTTTCCTCCAAAATGCAAACTAACGTGCAAATAATAAGAAAATAAAAAGACTAGTTTGTTTTACTCGAATCTCTTGTAAAAATCTGAATTTCATAAGCCGGGTGACAGGAAAACCTTGGTTACATCTTTGCTATGTTGAAGCATCTGAAAAGCTTTGCGGAAAACTGCCGGAAGGCCACCGGCGTTGGCGCCGTGATTTAAAAAAGATCCTCATGCGTGGATGTCAAATTCGGACGTTCGTATAGCTGTACTGGACTTCGTGAACACTTTCTTTTCTAGAACCTATTGTTTTGTAGTCACTAGAATAAAAGCTTTGTCACTTTTACAAAAACTGCTTGCCATCCAGTTGTAGCATATTTTATCAGTAGATGCAATATTTTCCAGTTAGCAAGTTAGCTATGACCGTTTTGCGCTCACGTAAATTGGATCAAAAGGCTTAGACACTCAGATATTCAAAAGCCCTTGGGTATTTGGCGAACTGCACTCATTTGTATTATAGTATCGTCTTCTCGGAAACCTAAACTTTAGTTGAAAAACTTCGTAAATGATGGATTTAGCTGGGATTTAGTTTGGTCTCCCACGAAAACCTAATTTTTGTCCCAAACTTCGTACAACTTGGATTCAAGTAGTACAAAGGGTTGACAAAAACTGGGGGGAAAAGCGTATCTGAAGAGCTCCAAGAACGGCACACCTGGCTGTTGGCTGTTGAAGAGTTTTCAGCACCCTTATCAATGGTGCTCCTTCAAGGGGACGTCGGGAATCTGTTATAACCCCTAGTTTATAAAACACTCGCAAAATCCGTCAGAGTCAAGCTACTTTAACGGAAGTTATTACCTTTTAAGACTTGCTTTGAAACATGGAAAAACTTGAGGTGACCCGAAGTTCCAAATATTCCCTGTAGAATATTGTACGTCTCATAGGTGGTAATGCTTACTCCATCGGCGAAAACCATTGAGAATCACCATCATCATCATCGGCAGTATGACAACAGTGTTCAACACCGATACTTTGCTGCCATACATCCATAATTTAATTGAAAGTCTTATTGTGAAGAAAAGGATAAAGGTAGACGGAGAAGGAACTTATGACTAGCTTACTACAAACATTCCGAGGTGCCTACACCTCCAAACATTCATTCAGGCAATCTGGATAGAAACTGACAACAAGATCGCCACTGGCTGGTCCTCTAGGTCGGGGGTTGGAACATGTGGCGACTTGTTCCGTAGAAATGGTAATGCATATGTATTTCTCGCCAAACACCACTGCCTTACAGTTGAGCTTTTGAGCAAAGGCTTTGGTTGAGTACCCTAATCGCCCTCGTGTATAGGTGTGGGCGCCCTAAGAGTAACCCAGCCCATGTATATCCACGAACTGCACACATACAAATTAAGAAACCACTCGTATGCCAACCATCTTAGTAAAAGCCACGACACCTCTAATCGTGAAACCTAGCGTTGCGCCTGCGGAATCAGTTATATCAGTCAAAATAAGGTGCACTCAAAAGTCGTATTGCTAAACATAGTTAACTGGAGGTTTCCTGTAGTCCTACCTTGAAGTAGAACCCTCCCGCACACCTCCTGTCTCCTTCAAAACATTGACGAGTGACTCAATTTTGTGTCCGGTTGAAAAGTTGCCCAATCAGTCATTACCCGGCTACTAACACGGTTCACTCGACCAATGTTCAGTAATTTCCTCGGCAGAATATGTCGTGCATCAACTCGGTGATGAACGTTTTTGTTTCCCACTTTCCTCAAACTCAAGAGAGAGGTGGTAACACAACGCTCATCCTCCTGAGGGTATTTCAAAACGCAACAGGTTCGAGCTGTTTCGCTTACACTTGTCTAACCCTCTTCTGTTTATCCTCTTCACGATGAAGTTGCTTCGGACTCAAGGGATTCATCCACTTACAAGTGGCCTGGATTTTAGTTAAATCCTATCCATCACTGTGGACAGAATCTCCACTAATGAGTAAATTACCTCGTTTACCAGAGACTAGCCAGACTAAAATCTCACTTGTACACACATTCGGATGAGGAAGAACTCTTCAAGTGTTTAGTTGTTTCACATCTATTCTTGTGCTCCATTCGCTGAGCAAAGACAGCTGTATCGATTTGACCTGGCACGTGACCACTCAGTCTGACTACAGTTGTTTACAGTGCCTGAAATTGAAGGGCTCTCATGATTGCTCCACTGCATCCGGTCAAAGAAGCAGGGACAGCGTAAGTCTGCTTGGTTAATTGTGCATCCCTGCCTCATTGTAAATAGGCATGATATGGTTAGGGTATTAGATTAGGACGTGATGAACACACTTGACGATGGGCTACTGAAACATACATTCGATTGCCTGATTGCGGAGCAACGACGGGCAAAATCGAATTAAAGATCACAGGTACTCAAGACGGATGGCGAAAAGTGGACCAAGAAGCCAACAAAATAGCAATTACCCGCAGAGTAATCTCATAAATATCATTTCCAGGGGACCTGATTGGTCAGCGAGAAGTCAAGCTGCATCCAGGATTTCCGTTCGCAAGGGACGCTGTCCTTTCGAAGGCATACTCGCTAAATTGTTTATATTCAACCACCTATGGGAAGCGCGAGGGAGGACTATGAGACAGTTCAAACATTGCGAAACGTGTAAGCTCGAAAATGAGGATAGAGCCGGTCAAAACTGGATGCCTTTTCAATGAAAGTCGTCCGGATTTTGATATCTGGAAGAGTTTTCATGAACAATACTACTCAGATTAACTTTTAGTGGGCATAGACAAGCCACCATATTCAAAAATTGGATGAACAGTCCGTGTGAAGTGTGTCAATTAGTGTGTGTGTGTGTACGGGTATTCTTTGGTGGAAATTGTTGCCAGGACAATGGGGCACATGAGATTTATTGGAATTTTCTGGCAATCGATTGTACATCTTGGTCTGATGGGAAAAAGTGGAAACCGCCAGGTGTTGTTAAAGTTTATTCAGCATCCTTATAAGTAGTGTAATGGCGAAACAAAAAATAGGGTTAATTTTATTCGGGGGTCCATTGCATGCTCTACAGGATGAAATAAATCTTTTGTTTTGATCTGACAGGTGAAGAAGGTAGAACTGATTCAGTTGATTTTCAAAGTTTTCCCGATAAAGTGAAGACCTCTTTACAACAAATAGCCAAAGCGAAATAATATTCGCTCCCCGAGGCTGTAGGACCGTCTGGGGTGTACTATTTTAGTGCGAAAAAGTAACAGTGAAAACGGGAGCCACTCTGCAGACGTCCAACTGTCCTCACACAAATTACCAGAATGTTTTTTCTCTGTTCAGTAAGTCTTGAATAAACGGCAAACGAAAACGGTAAAGACCTTTTACTCAGGAAATTAGAGCATATATGGTGTTCTGAGAGTTCCTAATTTATCACGAGTTTGACGTAAACGGTCACAGGCCCCTGACATGCCTCATTCAGTAATGACCCACAAAGCTAATCATATACAAGTTAGATAATGCCGTAGACGTAACACAACAGTCCTAAAGTCGCTGAGAACCCTTCGACATCCCGGGATCGGTTTTACCCTCCTTTTCGATCGTCAGGTAAACGCAGTGCCCCTCTGTCCTAAATGAACCCAGTTTGATGAGCCCCACGAAGGATGAGAAGGATAGTGGGATGTCGAATAGTTTTCAGTAATTTTATGAGTAGTACGGTGCCTCTAGACAATGATATATTTAAAATTTTCAAATAACGTACCAAACGCAACAAGAAACAGCCGCCTGTATACATTTACAGCAAGCGGTCGTAAACCAGGGATTTAGCTGGATTCAGTTGAGCCTGCTGCGTATACGGCATTGGTGTGCAAATGAAAGTAAGTGTATTAATGATCCCTTTAGATGTTTATGATCATCAATGGCACAGGTCCTTTGTACTTCATTTCTGTTACCCATTCTCACTACTGCATTGTTTCTGCATATCAGCTAACTAGAACGTTTTAATGAACTTCGGATAGCCCAGCTGGAATCATGAAAACATCAAAACCGAGAGATTCAGCTGGGTTCCAGGTTAGCCTCTCAAAAAACCAAATTAGTTTGCACATGAGTGTATTTTTCTGGTTTCGAGCAATTCGGTATCAAGTAGAACATAAGGTTGAAGGAAACTCGAGGACTGCATCTATCCGATGAGCCCCAAGAAGGGCTAAATCACCCGTGGGATGTCGACGAATTTTCAGCAACCTTATGAGTAGTGCATTGTAATGATATACATGTATCGCGATATCTCAAATATCGTAGTGACTGAAACATGATGCAACCTAATGCAGCACATTCAGTCCCCTGGAAACATCACAAATGAGAGATCAGCTGGGTTCCAGGTGAATCTCTCGCGAAACCAAATTAGTTTGCAGATGAGTGTATTTCACTACGCTGTAGTCCTGCTTCCAGAAAAATCGACTGCTCGAGAAAGGTGCTTGTGGACAGATGACGATAGACTAGGAGTGACAACGCCCAGAAGAAGCCATTCGCCTTCATGGATGACATTCCCGTACGAGGATTTATTATAAGTTGGTTGGAAATTCGACAAAGAATCCACATCTAACAGCCCGGAGTTGCAATGCCACGAGTATGTGGTGCAGAATGAGCCCGAAAATAGCAAATCTATGAATCAGTTGTGTTCATATTTGAGCAAGTAACACAAATTCGGTTTCATCGGGCATTTTTGCATATCCTTATTATTACTGTGCCGTTTCTAGCGTCATCTGAATGGTCGTGACAGTAGTAAAGAAACATAATTAGATTACGGTTTTTCATTAGAGTTAAATTCTGGCTTCCGGCAATACCTCGAGGGGTTTGGTAATTCAATCGTCACTATCCTAGCGTCACTGTTTGTTTGTTTGAGTATTGTTCAGTCCAATTTGGGTTCAAGTAGAACATAGGGTTGACGGAAACTCGGGAAATGCGCCTACCTGATGAGTCCAAAACAGAAAGGCAAAACCGGTCAAAGTGGGCTGTCGAAGGGTTTTCAGCAACCTTGTGAGTATTTTCATTTGTGAAAGCATTGTTCTGCTATTTTTCCATAAAGACGATTGTTCCCTCACGTGTGCCCCGATCCTACGTTTTTCACCGCACTGAGTGGACATTTTAAGCCTGGGGGTTTGTAAGCTCGGCATCGTAACCTAAGTACTTCTGTCGTCATGGACTACATCGAATAGTCTGACAATCAACGATGTGGAAAGGACAGTGGATTATACACATGACAGCCGAGTGAGAATCGCCTCAACAACTGACTTGCCTGCAGGCGTGATGTCTGCGATAACGCTGACACAATACGCCATTCACCTACTGCGTAAATCAGCTTGATTTCACCCACCGAAGCTACACATATCATCGGTCACAAAATCACCGGCAGTGAACCTTCACAACATTATAAATTGCGAAGTGAATGGATCTGATTGTCCACACACCTAAAAGTAAAGTGAACAAGACTTCGAAAACCGTAATAGTGGGTCTTATTTGATGCATGGCATAACTGGTTTTCTAGACTGCAGCTTCACTCAAAATCACCGCGATAATTTGTCACCAAATCTTGATGGAACGAGGGAACTGTAATTGCTACATTTTTAAATCTTAACTGATAATTTTGGTCCGCTTTTGGTGCATAAACTTTCGAGCAAATCAAGCTTCAACCGGAGTATTTTGAGGGAGTGTAGAGAGACGAAATACACATCACAACTGCTATTCTGCCCTTCCCCCAACTTTTTCTCATTTTGGGACAACTGATTTGCAAATATTCCCCTTATGCGTGGTGAAACGAACAGAAGTCAATTACTTTGTGGCTTTTCAGGAAACCTTCAACCTTCTGAAGGCAATTTTGGTAACCAGCTCAACTTTTATTGCTAATCATGTTACCTGATTAACTAAAACGTTTAGGTGGAACACACACACCATCTATAGGAGTATCCAAGTGCAGTTCATTTTACGCTGATTGATCTGCACACCCCGAATTTCTGATGCAATTTTGGAAGTAAACTGAAGTAGACGTCACAGCAGCGTCAGTCTCTACGGTTTTCTAAATTTAGTGAGTACAATAAGGTAAACTGGTACGAGTCCTTGGCAGTCAAACAAAAACATTCTCACACTGACTTTCCTAGTAATACTACCCAAATGACAGCAAGTGAATCTGATGATCGTGTAAACTTCATTAGTAATAAACGGAACTCAAAAACGATTTATCAGTACTTTGTAGGTTGTAACTTCTGTGGTGTTTTGTACATCTATTTTACATCCATTATAACATCACGTATTTTGTCGATTGCATGACCATTTTTTTGAATGTGAAAAACAACAAAAACGCACACTTGTGCAATTTCACGCAGTACAAACGTGGTCACGTGCTTCGACTCTCTCTTCTGATTTCGCTCGCGCTTGCAACGGTCATTCGCGAGTTTCGTGTGCTAACTCTGGTATTAACACATTTCAGACAATGTTCGGAATCTAATATATGTGGGAACTGTTCAGAAAAAGACCCCTGGACCACCAGAATTGGATTATTGTTTATTCGCTAACCTGGGCCAACGATGAATTATTTTAAGGAGAACAATTATTAGTGAGTCTGTTCCATCTGACCTCTTTATTACTGTATACTCATTCTAGCGTTATTATTTTTAATTCTTTGCAACACACTCCTGACAAAGTAGCTTATTGGGTAGCCAGACCACTGCACTTCCAACCGTGAACAGAAGAATTCATTTCTGCCTGTCGACCAAATTCCTAAAAACAAACACTGACTCTACACCTCAGCATAGTTTGTCCTTTTCGTTCTACTCCAAATACACTACTGAATTTCTTGACTTCTCGCATCCGGTGTGCTGTCAAACCTGTCTTTCTTAGACTCGTGGACCACTAGACAAAAACACAGGTGGCTAGTCTACGGTATGACTCAGACTAGTGGCCGGGCATCGTGACTGCACGACAGACTATTCGTTATGGCGTCAATGAATAGCCCAGTTGTTATACGGTCTAGTGCACATGACACCCTTGATAGTAATCCCAAAAAGTCTGAAAGCAATACATACATACATACATAGAAATACAATATTATATAGTACAGTGGCCAGACAGTCAAACCATCTGAAAAGAGAGAGAGACGACTGTCGCCATGCCCCATCGACACGTCGGAATTCGACAAGACGGATTAATTCTACTATTGGGGTGAAAGGTGATTGTACAACATGCTTTTCGTGCGAGTGAACAGAACGCCAACGTTTTATGTAGAAACCGAATGGCACGCAAAGACATGTTCAATAGACAATAGCTGTTAGATTGGCTCACTCGAAAAGGAAACAATTGGAAACGGTATCTGAATGAGGCGGAATCAACAAAACGGACGGTATAGTTAGCGGAGCAGCCAACGTCTCAGAAACTAATCACTGTCTTTCAGGAGGTATTATACACGTATATTTCGATTCGCGGTCAGCTTCGGACATACCCCTGAATTGTTGTTCTTACCTGACGAGTTAGGAAAAGTGGGGTAACTGAAATCAAACTGCCCAGCTACATCTTGAGGACTCCCGATAACCAAACCAATGCATTAGCTGAAAAATAGCTTTACTTGGTAGGAGAGCCCCTCATAGTTTTCTCTTTCAAAGACCTTCATCAATAAACATCATAAACGAGAGATTCAGTTGGGTTCCGTGTGGGTCTCCCGTCAAAACTAAATTGGTATGCATATGAGAGCATTTCGATAACCCTAATTCTTGTTTTATAACTTCTCTCTAAAGAGACTTTTTTAGGGGGGGAGTAATTCCACGTAACTTTTCAGTCAGTCCAGTTCACATGCACAGGCTGAATTCTGCAGTTTATCAACGCAACGTTAAGCCAGTTTCCCGTTCCTCCACAAGTTCAGCCGGAAAACGGGGACAAACCAAATGATCAGGTCAAACACTGGGGTAACCGAATACGATGTGGATGATGTGGATGTGATTATCATCTGGTCAAAGTAGCCTCAACCTCGCCCCTGTGTCTAGCTAGGAATTGCTGCTAAGCATTCCAAGAACGTCCAGGAAACCTCAGAAGTGTGCCTGAAAATGTCGGCTACCTCAAAAGCTCTGTACAAATGTGCATTTTGTCTTTGCTCCAAGTGGATTGTGACTTCCTTGGTAGTGGTTCTCGACAAACCACACCGCGATGGAAGCCGTTTTTACTGGAACTTCAAATCAATCTTGTTTCAGCTGCGAGGACGGTGCTTTAAACTACTTTGAGCTGATGCTACTTGCAGGTTTCGCAAGTAGTATAAGCAATTCACTCTAGTGTTCTGATTTACGCAAGGGATGAAACGCCCCCGTTAGTAGTCATCCGTGTAGTAGGACATCCGCACTCATCCGAATTTCAAAAGGAAATCTCATAAGCATGTTTATGATTTGTGTTAATTGTAAAACCAGATTTGGTCACCGTAAAAGTGGGCCATTTGATTCACTCCACTCTGGGAACATTACCAATCGATGCCCCAGTTTTGTACACAAAGCAACTACCTTTCTGTTCCACCTCACCGAATGTTTATCCAGCAGATACATAGTCATTAATATCGTTGCGCTTTTTACTGCCAATGTCAGACTTTCACTCATTGTCACTGAACGTTAATGTATGTACATTAGGCACTTTGGAGAGTCTGTCAGCTAGTTGTGAGAGCGCTGGCTTTTTTCTCCCTCGCAGTGGGGCTGAACTGTAAATGTCTGCTTGTGGTACACAGAACACGACTGACGATTTAGTTCACGACCGATTTACAGCTGTCAACTCACAATTTGATGATGAGGTTCGTCTGTAACAATGTCAGCCTTGTTCGTTGCCGTTTGGACGTTCTTTTTTCTCAATTTTCTGACTGTTTAATGTTCACTGTGATCAATGTATCAAAACCGGATTATTGGTTTGTCAATCTTTCCAATCATTAATCGGTCATCCGTGAGGATCGATCAAAGTTTCGTGGTGTTAGCAAACTAACTAGTCAAAAATTTAGGTCACTAATTGGTTACGAGTTTGTCTATGAAGCCTCATTCAGCACAGAGGGAGTTATGCGCACACAGACTAACATCGGCATGGTTTTACAATACGATACTACTTACTTAACTGTAATCTGACAGGCTATTCATGCAGTTCACTTCTACCGAACGAGGAAGTTTGTTTGAAGAGAACGCATTCACTCTTTTCAGCTATCATAAAAGATGCAACAATCCAGTGTGCCAGTTCCCCAAGGAAATCTTTGAAAGCGATATCAAGTGAGAACAATGTGCCCCTACACAATGGAGTTAGGT